CTACCAAAATGTCGGACAGTAATGTCTTCAAGAAGCATACGGCGGTAAAAATGAACAATAAGCTCCCAACTGACATACACGGGAAAAATGTTTTTATGGTGTTAATGAATATAAACAAAAATCATCGCCATCTTTCATTCGTTTCATATTCATTTTACATGTTGTACCATATATCCATTTACATTAAGTTATATATGGCAATTGTTATTATTGATTATGCGCTGACCACCCAAAAAAATAAAACATTGACAGGTGAAATAAATAATTCATAGAAGATTCATCTATTTATTTGATACACATGTAAAAATTTATTTATTCACTTGACATTGGCAGAATTGTGCGAAATGCGCGGATAAGCCATTAATAAAAGAAGACGAAGAATATTTGGAAAAGTGACATCTAAATTGTGACATGCATAAATTCGATATAATTTCGTTAAATCGACATGTACTCCAACCATTTTTAAAATTAGAGAATCTTTGTTAAGATGTAAAAAAAAGGGTATTCGGTTGCTAATTGCCTGGATACCTGGACATAGTGGGATCATTGGTAACGAGACTGCATATTCTTGCGCGAAAGAGGCTATTTCCTGTGGAATTCCCAGTTATCTTGCCGTTCCTCTTATGGATCTAATGTTTGTTGCTTCCTCGTTCTCATCTAGTTCAATCATGGTCGTTAGATTGGCAAAACACTAGGTTAAAAGCAGGCAAGAGCTACTACGAAATTCAATCATTTATACCTAGCAGACCATGGTTTTTTTTATATAAGAACATTAAAAAAAAAGTAGTTTCCATCATTTGTCGTCTTCTGATTGGTCATGCTTGTACTCCTGTCCATTTGGCGAAAATAAAAGTTCGGGATAGCTCCCTTTGTGTGTGTGGTCTAGATGAGGGGTCACCTGATCACATATATTTCAATTGCCCAAATATTTCTTGTTCCCTTTATGATATTTTACCCTCCAATTAGTGATGCTTCTGTAGTTAACTAACTAAATTTTTCAGTATTAATCAATTAAAACTTTAACATCAGTGGTGTTATCTTTCGCTCCCTTTTTTTTTTCATTTTTCAATTTAATAGTGGTCTGTGGTTAGACTCAATATGATTATGTTTAAATCATTGTTTATATTAAATTATTTCTTAATTAACATATTAAAATCGTATTAACATATTAAGTTGTTTTTGGTAAATCTATGTAGAAAGATAGAATTGGTAATTCAAATTTTTTTTGTTGAATGAATGTATTATAATCTTGTAATGGTCTCCTACGTGAAGTTGGCAGTAATGTGGTGACGCAAAGTGCCATTAAAGTTAAGAAGAAGAAATCGACATGTATTATTTTGTATGCTTAAGAGTTGATAATTGATTTTATTAAAATGAATTATTACTTATTTATATATGTTTATCAAGCTAAAATTGATGTTTCTTGTCTATTATTTGATCATGAATTTATTGTTTTGTATTAGTTATCATTTATAATATAATTGATTTAGTTAGTTTAAAATATTAATATCTATGCATGCCCATAATTGGGTGAATGTGTCGATTAGAAACCCTGTTACTTATATTAGATCTTTACTGTACCAGATTCAAGCAAAATAAAATTACTAATACTATTACTACTATCTAATATCAGCTTTATCTATATAAATTTAACAAATAAATGATATATGGGCAGAGGTAAGTAATTAATTAAAATCAAATATCATAAATTTAATCAAAGCGTGCAACCGTACCTGTTTGCGAGATTATCTATGTAAGTTGAATTATGCAGATACAGTAGTCATAATAAAAAAATTGTGTAGCAAGTTCATAACTGCATCAGAATTTTGCAAACTTGGCGATTATAAGAACGTAGTGTCATTTTCAGTTGCTACTTCATCAATAGGTTTTTAAAGAGCCTTAAGGATTGTATAGAAATCTATAGCACTATCTGATTAAGATTTTATAAAAATTACAACACATGTGTATAAACTTTATTAACTGTATATATTTTTCAGTGAAACTTATGCCATATTTTTGTTGATATAATAAAGAAATAAAAACAATCGGACGGAGATTGTTCATGATATTCTTGGGCAGAGATTACTTTAAACATTTTAAAAGAAAATCCATATAACTATGATAGAAATAATATGATATAAAAATAATCTTTAAAACAATAGTTATTGAGATTTTAAATTAGTTGACCAAGTCAATATATAATAATGATGTTTAAATGGAATGATTTGCTGTAAATCAATTATAAAATATAAATTATTTCTATAAGTATAGAACACAATATTCCGGCGATAGTTATGTCAAAATGCTTATAACATTCCAACAGTAATAATTAAATCAAATAACAAAAATATCTGCCGGCAATTAAAAATATAAACAATCTGATAACTTATACTAAATCACTTATACAATAATATCAGAATTAATAATAAGACCAGAGTTTGGACGGATAAAGAAATTACTTAAATAACTACAAATAAAAATAGAGATGAGTGCTACACGATAAGGATTAGATTAAGGCACATAAAACATAACAAATGGACAAGGCACATTTACTTGTGTAAGAGAAAAAGTCACCATATACATTTTACAAATGGCTTCATCCCACATGGCCCTTTCTATTTCTAACTACTCAAGATATCCATTCTTATCATAAAATACTGATGATATGATACTAGGACCACAAATTACAGATAAATGAAACTATCTGATTTGAGACTAAATATGTTTCAATTTTTTTGTTAAAGGACTTTATGTGTAGTTTACATTATAATAAGGTATAATAAAAAACAGAAGAGTATATATATCCGGTTTGATGGGGGCAAATCAGTGGGATCATGTAGGATTAAGCTTTAAAAAAATACTTTTATGTTAACAGTATATTTGGTTTAACCTGGACTGAAATTTGTTATAGATGACCTATTATTACAATACTATTAATAATGACAGTTATAAATATAAACAAAAAGACATAGATTGTTACACGAAAGAAATCCCTGGGATCACAATGTTTTCGCATTTATTACAAAAGCCATAAGAGATATGCCAAGGAAACTCTTTCCTATAACGCTTTATAACCATTATATTGAAATATATGTAACACTAAATTGTGGAAACCATGCCGGGTCTAGTGTCTGGTGGGCTCTTTTAAAAATAATTTTAATAATATCAAATGTGTATTTACAATACTTGTTTATAAAATATGTTAATATTAATCTTTAAATCTATATTGCAATAAGAATAAATTATATCTAGTAAGTAAATTTTTTTTTTATAAAATGCGTGTATCTATACAACAAGCTGTATATAATATAAAACAATAAAACATTAATGTTATTTTAATTACAACACTTTGTGCTGGATCATGTACATATAGTATTGCGTATCTAAATATAATGTGTTCCAAAGGCAGGCGAAAAAACGGAGGAACAGACTAAGATATTAATATAAAGAACTATGTTCAAGCTAAAAGTATATATAAAAATACCAATAAACATATCTCAACAAGGTTATTTTTTTTAACCCACATTACTTTAAATTAGGGTTCGCAAAAATCCGATATTTATAATAAATATCAAAATATCCGCCGCTATTTATTTGATATACATCATGCATATGAAAAATAGAGATTTTTAAGCTGCTAGTAGCTTTATTTAATATTTGATCTTTTAAATAAAATCGTGTTTAACATATTTCATATTTGTTTATTTATTATAAAATAATTAAAAAGTAGTATGCGTGCGAGGATTCCCAGTAACGTATAGGGGAATACCCGACTTATTACTTACTAAACTATAATAAACCTTAGTACGTGAAAATAAGCATTAAATTTTAAGAAAAAGTAAACGTTCGCATTACGCTTTCAAAAAATGCGAAATTTCCAGTAAGTAAGATTGCTACTTCGGGTCAATGTTGCCAGCGTCACAAACGGTTGGTTAATTTTCTAGCTGAAATTCAATACTTTAACAATAAATATTATAAACATTGATATATATCAATCGATATGTATACCTCGATATTTATAAGCGAACCCCATTTTAAATCGAAATTCTAAAGAGAAACATAGGTATATAATGAATGAAAAAGTACATTAATAATTGCATCATTGATAAAGGTAAATGAAAAATCTTAACCACTACATACATACAACAATAATTTTGGGACTGAAATTATAAAGCAAAATGATCTGAAGATTACATATTAAATTAATTATAAGGATATATCATCGTAAATGAAATTGCACCAACAAAACTGTTTATTTATTGCCACAACAGTTTTACTGTGAAAAAATTTGGGTAATGAACAAATTGTAAACATTATAAAATATGCAAATAAAATTAAGTAAAAAAGTAAAAGCAACATTTATGGCTCCAACTGTAATATTTAAAATAATTTATGTATAATATGTTACGTCTTAATAGATGAGCTTATAATGTGTCTAGAAATAATTTGCAACATGTCTTTGAAACGGGGTGTCTCACTTCTGGTATATATCAAAAATTACATCATAAATTCAACAATATAAACTTGTAAAATCTATTGTGTCCATTTTATTTGATATTTGTATGTAATCACAATAAAGTATAGAATCGAAATGAATATATATATATATATATATATAATAAATAGCATGGTTTTAGTATTAGAGTGAAATTTATCAATAAAAGTACTACAGTTATTAATTACCATTGGATGTGGGAGAACCTGCTCTATTAGCTTTTATAGACGGTTGTCTACTTTTGCATATGTCAAGTAAATATATCATACCAACATAACAACATAACATACAGTTCAATTATAAATCTAACCACTCTATTTCTCTATGCAACTAATTCAGTAGAATATTTGAATTTTCATAACCGATATACACATATATTTTCTATGATTATATCGTCAAGCGTGTATTAACAAAACTTGATTATAAATAAACTGTCTAGTCAAAAACTACACAAACACATTAACGTTATTACCACGGTGTTATCACGGTATTCACGTAGCACTGTTCACACTTCTGTGCTATGCGTTTGTATACGCACTTTCTTCTGGCTTCCATTCCGGTTCAACGGTGGTGAATGTCCGGAATATCCCGGGTTCTGGATGCCGAGCCCTCCTGGTTCCCCTTCCCTAGGCCGTGGCTTCTTCAGGGAGGAACGGAGTGGTGATCTTGTAATGGTACTAGCGTCAGATAGACCGGTTAGTGTTGTAGCGGTGGTGTTGACGGAGCCAACGCTACCGTGCCCGTTGGAACTGTAAGGTTTGCCCGATGCGTCCGTCATAGATATACCTGCACGGTTAAATTTTAAAGTTTTCAAAAAAGCACGTAGTACACACGAGCACATCAGGTTACAAAATAATTGAAACTTTAATTTAAAATATGCAAAGGATTAGCCTTCATTTTTATCATAATATTACAAGATATAAAAGAATTGATCAATTGCACAGTTTGGGTGAAAACTATGAACAAACCAGAAAGCAGCAGAGCGAGCGTAGCGAGTGTACCGCGGGAGCGGCCAGCGATTGCATAATATCGAATATAACATAATTATCGAATACGAGTTAACAAATTTATGTTCTGTAGTATGTTATACTTAAACATTATGATGATAAAAAAAATATGCGTAAGCTGATTTTGATACCTCCAATGTAATTGATCTGATATAACTAATCATATTAAATAGGGTTCAGCTTAAAATGAACACGTGGGACACGACCACGCGCGGGGCGTCAGTAGATATATAAAGCTAAAAGAGCATTGCGCTGCTGCAATTAAGGCGAAGTTATATGAAATTACCACATTTTAAACCAATATTATTCTAAGACTTAACCAACCAAACCATTTTCAACCAAATAAAAATCATTTTGCTTGCTAAAACATAAACATAAATTTCAATAATTAGCTCCATAGAAAGAATCGCAAAGATGGCTATAAATGGGTTTCTGGATCGACTTTAGGACTAATAGTAAGTCGATCCAGTCGATTTAGGACCAATATTTCATTTTATATAGTTGAGATGATAGTATAGAAGATGAAAATATTAGTCGTACTTATATAGATATACAAAAATTGGGTCTTGATAAAGTCTTAAAGAATACAATACATTTTTTTTGGCTGCATTTGCTTTTTCATCTTTGTCTAAAAATTTATGAAATCAAACGAGCGTGTCTTTACTCTCGATGCGTATTTGTATGGGAACTTAGGCGCAGGTACAAGAGAGCCTTAAGCGTCAAGAGTTCACAGTGAATGCACATACAACGTTTCCATGATTGTAAATCAACACCATCGCTTTGCAATATGTTGTTATGATGTAACAATTATACAATTTTTTTTTTTAAATGTTGTGTAGGTATATATTTTCATGTTATGTTAGTTATGTTGTTTCATTTGTGAATTAATGCTTATTGTGTGTTCTGTCATAGTCATGTGATTGTAAATTAAAATCATCGCTTTGCAATACATTGTTTTAACTTTATAATTATTTATACAATATTGTTTTAAATGTCGTATTGGTATATACTTCATGATCAGTTATGTTGTGTCATTTATGGATTTATGCTTGTATATGATACACATCCGTAGTTATATGATTGTATAATACTATCGCTTTGCAATACATTATTTTAATGTTACAATACAATATATTACTTTTTATTTATTTTTTAAACATAAAAATCGCTATTCTCTGATGTTGGTTGGTATATTGAAGATGTATCACTCTTCACTAGAGACACAAGTTTATCCATTAGTCATGAGTCTCATGCACTACCATGTGAGTCTAGAGTGTCGGTGCAAATCTTTCGGAAGATCAATTCAAGCGCCTCATGGAATATGAGTTAGTACAGAATTTCCGTAGAATGTGAAAGGTAAAATACAAATTTAATACCACATAGGTAATTTGTTAGCTCTTTGACGTTCCGAGACTAATAACTTCACGTATGTTCCGTCAGACATGCACCGAATCTGAGACTTAGTGATAGAAAAATTCGCTTGAGCTATCAATGAGTTTGGATAAAAAGCGTTGGTCACAGGAGATACCTGAAGAAGCGTAGCGTAGTTCGAAGCGTATAACTGCCGATGCATTTGAATCTGAAGATTTCACTGTCGGGGAAAATCGCTTGAGCTCTTAAAAAATTTACACAGCAACTGTTTGATATCAGGAGACTTGAAAATCGATCGTAACACATACACTATCGCAGTTTCTAACAGAGGAAGTGTCAGACTCACACTTTCTCTGATAGAGAAATGCGCTTGAGCTCTTACGCCGTTAGTACACCGACACAATCGCAAGTAAATGTGTAAAACACTTACGAAATCTTGTCAGTTGTATGGCAATGTGGTTTGTCTCACTCTATTATTAGTTTCATGAAATAGCCGAATTCCCGTAGGTGAAAGAATAAAAAGAAAATAAGTTCGGCCCTTCTATTCTGTAAAACTCTTAACCCGAATTAGAATTCACTCAGGTGTCCTAAATCACTTCAAAAGCAGCATCTGTATCCGTTCAAACTAAATTGGTAATAACGTTTCATGGCATAAGTGACTTTCGAAAATATATAGGAATAGAATATCCGAGACACATATCTATCAATCAATCTTGTTTTGTATTTTTTAAGAATCGCTCTGCAGTACTTTAAACTCATTCGTTGCAAACAAACAATCAAATCAAAATAAATGCTTTATTATTATTAAATCAATCCTCTTCATAATATTAGTATAGATAAGAGGTGCCTGATGGTATACTCAGTTCGCCAATTCGCAAAAGGCACGAGTTACGGGCCATTCGATTCGACTCCATCTATAGAGAAGGAAGAAATCTTCAGATATACTTTCGCACGCAGACGAAGTCGCGAGCACAACTAAAAAAAATAATATCATGCCACGATGCCATATTAAATTATGTCTTAAGTGTTTTATAAACAGGTAATATTTTTCGGCAATCAGTGGCTGCGCTATCTGTTACTTATCTGGCTGGCCGTCCCATAAATGTTTTTTTTTGTCATACGGCCTTTGTCATACCTTTCAAAACAATGTTTGGCTATATGGTTGAAATTTTAATGCAACATTAAATATTGGCCGTTTAGAAGCCCCTTAAAAGAGATTTAGTATGCAAATGTATAAGGTGTAGTGCGAACATTCATACTTCTAAAAATGAAAATGAGGTATTTAAGTGATTATAATAGCATATGTTATTGATCTTTCTCACCTCTGCCTTCCTTGAAGCCCGGGTTGTTGATGGTGGTGGCGTCAGCTTCGCCCGTAGTGGTGGGGTCTCCGCCAGTCCGTCGCGAGAACAACGCATCGTACAGTGACATTATGAACAGCAAAGAATTTATTACTATACACACGATCTGAAATTCAAATGGAAAATAATGTTTTCATAGTCTAATTAAAACGTTCCATTCTAACTCTGTATAAAATTGAGAATAAATCCTCCCAAGTGCGAGTCGAACTCGTGCACGAACGGTTCCTCACCGGATACGAGTAAAAAATAACGTTTATTAACCCTATATATTTGATTAATTTTAATTTAATGATATATTATTAAAGTTACTATATAAATACATATTCTGTAAATATTTCAAGCGTTTTGCCTGTTTTCTTTATCAATATTTAGCGAATACGAGCAAAAAAATACACGTTTTTTGTATGGGAGCCTATTTAAATATTTATTTTATTCTGGTCTTTAGTATTCGTTATTGAAACACATCATTATGAAAATATCAACTGTCTAAATTTCATGGTTCGTGAGATACAGCCTGGTGACAGACAGATGGCGAAGTCTTAGTAATAGGGTTTCCGTTAGACTCTTTGGGTACGGAACCCTAAAAAAATCAGCCTATGCTGAGATTCTTGCCCGTTCTTTTCAGCTGTAAATTTGCGGAGCGATGGCACAAGCTTTCAACATTCACAAGTGCTTGCAACAGCCTAGATTGAATAAATGATATTAAGTTTGATTTTTTTATATGATATAACCCTTCGTGACACTTGTTTATAAAATGAAAATCATTCAGCAAACTATGGAAATGGCTATGCTCAGACTCTCTCTGTTCAATGACGTTAATATATATTATATAGAAATGATAGGTCAAGTAAAATATTCAAATTCACGTTTCCACAAAGTGTCATTAACAAAAATAAGTAAAACCTATATCGAAAGCAGATTGTACTGTACTAATTATACTCTCTTAACGCCATTTCTCGCTAAAAACATCCCAGCTATTATTAGAAAATGCAAAAATAAATCACTGTAGGTAATGTTCCCGAAATATTAAAAGGCTAATTTAACGTAATTGAACAGTAGATTCATTCAGAAATCTCATTGTGTAGTTTCTACCTTCGCCTTAGTTGTTCATAACGCTGATGCGTCATTGCGTTATGAACATCTGAAGAGTATCTACATTTTCACTCCAGATCCTTTGTGAGGAAGAAAGAGAGAACTGAACATCATCAACACAGAACACGAACGGTCATAAAGCATACGTCTGACACAAACTATTGATTGCTCGAATTCAACAGAATTAGGAGTTACAGTCAGTATCTTCAGGAGCTGCTCTCCTCCGTTCATCCTTAAACAAATGCAAATGCACAAACGGCAACAAATATCGCAATCGTCACTTTACAGGTCTTTCGCCCGTCCTCGCAGACCATCATCAGGAGTTGTTAGATCTCTAAGACTTCCAGATACTGAGTATGGAATTTATTGGGTATTGTAATGTCACAGTTATAACACATAATCGATTTGATCGTTAAATGCTAAATCATACATCACTATCTTCCTGCCCTGTTCTCAATTTATTTTGGGTTGGGACAGAGTATTTTCTCTTCTCCATGCTTCTTCGTCCGTTGTCATCTCATGGCTCTCTACCTTTAGTTTCAGATCATTCCTCCCCATGGTTTGTACCAGACCAGACGTTTACTTCTCTGTTACTGTTGCCACTTTCACACTCCTTTAACATACTTATTACTTTCTCTATTAATTCTCGTCATGCCACTCATCCATCTCAACATTCTCATTTCCGTTGCGCCATACCGCTTTTTCATTCGTCTTTTCATAGCCCAACAACGATAGATCTTATAACATATTGCTTAAGCCTTATATTAACCTGAACATAAAACGCTTCTCCTCGTCTCAAGTAGTATCCTCTATCATCGCCTTGAACAGCGAAAAGACCGGCTGCAGCTATCGACAGCAACGCTGGAATAATTAAAACACAACTATTAATAACAATGGAATGTACATAAAACATTTTTCTTTGAAGAAATTTGGCGATGGATACACAAATGCCATATGCAATAAATTGAAAAACACAGCCAATCATCGTAATAAATTGAAAAACACAGTCAATCGCACTCCTTTTTATGAAAATTACGCGTACGGAGGAGTATGAAACTTGGTCAGTTCATATGAACGAGTATAGACAGAACGCTGATTTCGAATGAATGAATCCACCGGTTGACCACTAGTATAATATAATATAATTTAACATCTAGTGTATGCAATCGGTAATGTCGAAAGTTGATATTTTCGATAGCTCTGTCAATAGCGTGACTAAATACATTAATTCAAGACTTCTATTTTCCTTACATAAACCACAGTAAAATTAGGATTGTATAAGCAAAGGCACGGTAATTTTATTCCTATTACATTTCGAGGTGGACATTTTAATATGTGACGATGAAGATGCTAATAATTGTGGAATATTGTGCAGTGACCAGTATATTATTGTATCAAAATATCAGTAAGTATAATCTGCATAGTTTCATTAAATTTATTATCACATGAAACGTGATTAGATTTAGGACTAGAAGATTATATCCTGGCATTCATTTTAATTTCATGGCTAAGTACCAACTAAACTACTTACCAGCGAGTAATGCGAGTGCAAGCTTCATCATCACGAGATGCGTATATTTGAAACCAACTCGCTCCTTGGATGAGATCATGGCTAACTGCAGTACGGAGAGCACGCAAAACACACCGAGAACTGTAACACCGATGGCACCGACGACACCTGAGATATAGACCGCCGCTGTGGACAATATTATTTCCTAATTAATTTGTGGCTTTAGAAGAGGAGGGCGGAAAAAAAGACTGCGTGAAAGATAATATGGGCACATATGGTTAAAAATAGGGTGAATGTAGAGCCAACAGCAGTCGACGATACTCCAAATTAAATTAGGACAAAGGTAGGCAAATAATGACATAATCCTGCTATCAAAATGACAATATTATTAATCTTATTGAAAGCACTTTTATTTCGAATCGTACAAATCTTTTACCTGCAATCTACTCAACGTCTTTTGGCTGCTTATTTATTAGAAGCTGTGCTACTTCGGGAAATAGTGGAAATTTATATGAATTTAATGTAGTGTTATTTCGTTAGTTTTTAACGTTATACACGACGGAAGATCCGTCACGCGTCGTCATGTATGCGTTAAAGCACCACGGATAACTCGCGAGTGTGAAGGGTTGAATGTCATATATCACATATTTGTCAGTTATGACGTTCTGCGATTGACGATACGCGACGCATCTTCCGTCAGATATGCACCGATCCTTACAGCCAGTTGCACAAACATCCATTAAAATTATCATTAGTTTAAAGCAACATTACCCATACAAACTTGACATTCATTAGATCTTAAAGGCGTCATTAAACCTTAATAGACGTTTGTGCATCTGACCGGTAAAGTACTAAAAACTTTTTATAAAACAGTAGAACCGGCTTCAAACTTTAAAAAAATGTTAAATAATACTTATCTCAAAAGCGACTTTTTCAAGAAAATGCTATTGAAGGCGGGCCGAGGTTTTCTGAAGGTTATTAATGAAATGATAGACGATCGACTTCAATAGCATTTTTTTTGAATAAGACGCTTTTAAGATAAGTATTATTTATCAGTTTTTTAAAGGTTGAAGTCATTTCAACTTTTTATAAAAAAAAAGTATTTAACATAATGAAAGTATTAAAATATAAGATTTAATTTATTTGCTCGATATATTTTTTTTCCAATAATCTATATTTACATTTTAAAGAGTAAAGATTTGATTGCTTGTTTGTTTGCACTGGATAGGCCCCGCAACTATTGTACCAATTTATAAAAATCTTGCATCTACGGGTAGCTACATAATACGCGGTGGGCGTAACCTATAATTTACGTAGGCGAAGACAAGGGGAAATAACTAGGTTGATAGAAATTGGTTCACAATTCAAAAAGAAGTCGATGAATATATCTACCCTTATATATATACTTCACTTATTTATACTTGCTATCTTAAAAGGCAAATTACTTATTCGATTTCGATAAACTTTAAATGGGAACACCTCCAAACATCAAGCTGTGAAAATCGGTCAACAGTTGCCGAAAATAACGGTGAACATACATAAAAGAAAACATAAATTGCTATCGAAAATAAAAGCTCCTTTTTCATTTTGAAGTCGGTAAAAATCAGGCTTAAAAACTTTAAGAATAAAGGTTTCAAAAAAAATATTTGATAGATAACGTTGAAATGAAAATATTCTTAAAATTCAGGAATTAGGTATTATACATATGTAAAAACAATTCAGAGTGCCTAGCAACGAGGAAAAAGCTTGAACATAACACAAAACATTTTAAAGTTAAAACACTCGTAACATGACACATAAGGTTCCACCACTGTGACGTTATTGTCTGATAGGCAAATACAATAGCAGTCCTCCAAATGTCTAATGCAGGCCATTAATACTCTTATAATATTAATTCTACCGAATTTTAACAACTTTCTCTACACTTCTCACATTGTTCTAGTGGTCACTACGACTGCTTGTCACTCATGCCAGGGTCTTAAACGGAATGAGTATATACTTCGTGATCAATACTGTCTAGTCTACTGCCATATCAGCGAAAGATTAAAAGTGCTTCAAATCACTAATCCGATCCAAGCTATGCCGCGCCGACACAATGTTTGTACTTACTACCTATACAATTATACATGTTACCAACTCCTACTTTGATCCAAAGCATTAGTTTTTTTATTATTATTTATAAGAGAATACTTGTAATTGGGTTATGGATGAATGATAGATAAACGTGTAGAGAAATTACTATATTATATAAACTTTAGTATGCCAATATAAAATTAATGAAAAAATTTGTCATCATGAAAACATCAATTTATTGCATGACTGATTTTAGCAATATTCAGTTATATAAAAAAAATGTTCCAAAAACGAGTTATTTTTTAATTTATTTAAGCAGATCATTAAAATTAGCAAGTGATCCTTGACAAAGCTTGATGCTAAATTGTTCCTTTTATAAATATCACGAACTATATTTGTCACGATTTTGATCTTTAGGTCCGATGCTATTGAGGTTTTTCCAACACTAGATAGATCTTTTACGATGTTGGTTTTAAACTCCACCCCAAAACTTTTTAATATCAAGATTATTACAAACTCATCTCCCATTGCACAAGTGCATACACATACACAAGTATATTTGTAATAAGAATTTATATAAAAGGAATATCGTTCGTTAAGTTATTCGACACAGTCATAAGTAGGGATGCTACGATATTTCGGTTTCCGAATTCCATATATCAATATCGATATGTATATATGGACATCCAAAAATTTCGATACCGTAGATGCAGCTATATCGATATCGGAAAAACCATCGAAGAAACCTAATATTGTATGAAATCTTAAGAGTAGATGTATATCAGTTGCCCGAATTTTAAAATCCAACAGCATTTTCACATGTGATATTACATTAGTAGGACCTGTGACCCTCATTTTTTGCTTTGAAATTTGTAGTAGTTTTTATTATTATAATATGTACTTAGTTTTAAAGTGTTATTCCCAATCCAAAAAGTATATATATATAATATGGATCTAACCTATGATGAGATCTTGGACGATATCCAGAATATATGAATTAAAATGAAAATGGAGATATGCTCCGTTGGATGACGCATAAAAGAATGACAAAACTGATATACAATGCAAAAGTGAATATCGTGAAATGAAAAATCCACAAAGCAATAAAACTCAGCGAGCATGTATGAAATGATGATGCTTTGTGGTAAGTACCCGGTTCTATCTACCCGATAGGATGTAACAGGGAGAAACATAATAAAACATTAGGTTACCGGGAAGGAAGAAAATTTTAAATTTTGTAAGTTCTACAAGTGTTTTATAGTTAAACCGGATTATCAGCATAATGACTAAGAACCTATTATATTCTGACGCAGTGCATATGTATAAAAATTTCCTGTTACCTCTTGTCCATGTTATTTCATAAATGCAAAAGCACAATATTTTATTAGTCCTAAATTTTGTAAGAAACCAAAGTTTCTTATAGATGATACTGTGACAACGGTGTGTGACCAAGAATATTTTTTCAGTGTTGTTACACAAATACTGTGTTCTAAAACAACGATAACCAAACTTGTAGTCATGTAGAAATTCGAATTCACGCAGTTTGAAACTATACATCATCCTACCTTTTTTCCGGACTTTACCACAATTAACATTTATAACCGGATTTGGTAAATTTATTGGCACTTATAAAATTTTCTCTGAAAACTGTACAAAATTATTTCACATATTGTCGTAGTCAGACGCTTGTCATTGGCCCGTGTATCGATTTGGTTGGCATCCAATCCAATCAAAATGCATTCAAAGTTCAACACTATATTTATTGAGCATTAGAGTGAATAATTTCTATCGAGATTCATTCGCGATATTTAATTTATTACCTAACATTTATTTTTATATTGTATTAAATGTCCAATTATTTAAATAGAAACTTCATAGGTGTAAGACTTCTCTTAATTATAATTTGAAGTTTAAACAGTGTAAAATAAACTATATAATAAAATAAAATAAATAATGTAAATAAATTACAGAATAAATTACACATAAATTAAGTGACGTAGTTACGTCACTTCTTTCGAATGGTTTCATTATTTGGCAATTGATCGTCTCAAATAACAAACGACTCCATTGTAATAAAGGCTAAATCCTGAAAAATGTATTCTTGGTTTTGACCCACGTACTTTTTTTAGATTTTATGCGCTAAGTGAGTAAAACAGTGTCACCGATCTAACGCCAGGATTTTTTTTAGCAATCGCTCTATATTTGTAAGTAGAAGCTCGACGGCTTGTCTCGTCTAGAAAGAATATTGAGTATCTAAAATTGATTGGGTTAAAAACGAAGTCGAGTTAGAACTTCACCTTCGGAGTAATAAAACATGTTAAGACAGTTTTAGGTACCCGCAGTAAAATTAGCAGACAATATGGCGACATCACATTACCATATTTGCTTCGTAACCAAGGTTGCCCATATGTTACACGTTTCAGGTCACTTTTCAATGCTGTCTAACTGGCGGTTACGTCATTTTCACCACTTCGGGGCTTGTTTGAATTACGTAACTATACGGTATGATAAATATGTCAGAAATATCACTCAAACACCTGTTACAATAACTATTACAGATATATATTTTTTTACATCTAATGGCTTGATTTTTACACGACTGCCCAAAAAGGAATGTTTTATGTTTAGGGTTAATGTATGTACGTTTGTATGAGAGTTTCTTTATTCCTTAATACTTAACACCTAAGACATGGGTTTATCCCAGTGTCGGAGTTGGAGGTTTGTACTTTTTTGCAATGTTATTTAAAGTAATATTTGTGAATTGGATGAATAAAATTGTAATTATAAATGACTTGTGAAAGACTTAACAGATATTAATGTATAGGGTCTCATTAACATTATCCTGAGTGACATAGGCCATATATTTTTAGGATCTCTTTGGTTAATTACGCATGTTCCACAGAACTGTACCTCGACTGCAATAAGAATTTTGTTTAGCCAAGCCATAATATACATTGTTTCTTTTAGTTTTAGTTGTTTAGTTGTTGTTTATAAAATTAAATTTTGTAAGCAAATTCATAAAAACCTACTTCAAAACTAGGCTGTTTTTATAACGAAAAATAGATAGACTTTGTGCAATAACTTTATACAACGTATAACTAATAATGATATTA